TCAAAACAGTCATATTTCTGGATTTTATTAAAAATCTTCAGCGCCCTCAAGGAAAAAAACAAAGGCCGCACAACCTGAATTACGTCTTCATAATTAACCTCCAAGAGAATGAATACTCTCGTGCATTCCTGAAACTCAGGTTTGTGTAGCGAAATTTGCCCATTGAGTGACGAGCGGTTGAATCCCCCTTAAAACAGAAATAAGGAAGCATTATAAATCTGGACTGATAGAAAAACTCCACCTGCTGACAGCTACCAATTATCTCGGCGCTGACTATGAGTATTCAGTGCATGCCAATGGTAGCGTGCTTAGAACGAGTTTTTCCCACGTGATTTCATAGGATCGCAATTGTTCTTCCGAAACAACATTGTTTACTCACGCAAGCAGCCGCATTTGAAGTTTAAAATATTTTGCATTGATTGGGGCACACGTGGCAAGTAACACAGAATTTTTTTTGTTTTTTTTTACAATCGGCGAAATCGAATGTTTTCGGGATACCTTGGTCTATAATGAATGTAGCACAAAAAAGAGCACGAGCTGAATCGCAGTGGCAAACGAAAACAATTATGTTAAACAAGTGTGTAATCACGTCAAAACTGAGGGTATTGCATATATGCAGAAGGTAATTTTTGTTTCACTGAGCACATTACCAGTAAAGTATTTAGTTTTATTGTGTGAGCGAAGCGGAACATAGAAGCGTGAACATGCTGCCCTGAACTATTCATGCATTGAACAAGCGCACTGTTCAAACCATGGAGCTCTTTTTCATAGCTGTTGGTGGGCTCAAACTTCTTAAAACACAAATATAATCAATTTGATTCTTTCATTTCTTTTTCCCAAATGCGACAATGTTGTTGTTTTGTCTTTTTTGCGTTTACGTGCAATTTCCTTAGTTATATAACATTTTTCCAAGACGTCCGACAACTATAGTCTGTTTCATCATAAGTAAGAGCCGCATAATCAAAGATGTAGACAAAAACGAAAAGAACGTGAAAACGCGAACACACATAAATGCAATGTAACGCTGTATTCAAAATTAGTCGTTAGTTCTTTAGGGAGCAAAGAGTTTCGACATTGATACCCGTTGTAGATTATAAAAAGCGCAGTACAACTCTTTGCTCGGGGTCTTTAATGTGCATCACGCAGTATATGTGATACACGATCGCACGACGGTAGGATGCAGATGGGTGACAGAACCCAGGGTCCCTGCTAAAGCCCCTTGTAAAGCAAAGCAAATATCCAGATCTTAGGGTTTTACACGCAAAATCAACAAACAACACTTAACACGCCGCAATAAAAAAAGTGCGGGTTTATTTTGACTAACTAAAAGCTTTTGTCGTGCAACCGAAATTTCAGATTTGCCTCCGTCAGATAGCGGGCACCTCGGCCGATATTTAAACCCGACGAATATGAATTTATGGGCCAGCGCGTTGGTTCAGAGACACTGAGTACGAAAATTGGGTTGTGAGTATGCTTGTACAGCCTAGAACTTGGTCTGCCTCAACGGTCGACGAGCCTCCCAGCTGTAGATGAGAAATTTAGCTACTGCAGTACAACCGCTAGCCTGGGTCTTTAACGTGCATCACGCAGTAGTGATACACGACACCACGCCGGTACGATGCTCATCCAGATCAAAAGGGGCTGTGACTGGGATTGAACCCAGGATCCCCGGTGTTATAACCTAGTATAGGTTTCGGTTTGTTTTAATTAATCTGTCTAGTTTCCATGCTGACTACCAGGTGTGACTGTCTGTATTTAGTTCTATTATAGTGTACTGGTACACTTTATTTTATGCCACGCGTATCGCGTGACACATATGCTTGGGTTCCGGAACATAAAGGTGTCTGCGATGTCTCCTTGAGTACCAGGCGTCCCATTTCATCGAACGATACAACATTTGGCGACGAGAAGATGGGAACATAGGAATGACGACGATGAAGTCGAGTGCTTCAACTACTGTGGGGAAGCCTCCGGAGTTCTGTCCAGACTCAGGTGACATCGATGTGTACCTTGAGCGGTTCGAGCTGTATGCAGCGGCGATTGATGTCGCCAAAGGAGAAGAGCTGCTCGTTCTTCTTACAGTGCTAGGCGAGAAAGCCTACGTGACGCTGCGCAGCTTACTTCTACCAGAAACGCCGACGGAAGCCGGATATGCCAAGCCGGTTTCGGCGCTACGAAAGCACTACGCTCCAAAACGATCGGTTGTCACGGAACGTTGTCGATTTCATCGACGTGACCAGGGTCCCGAAGAAAGCGTCTCCGACTTGGTCGTCGCGCTGAAGACATTAGCAGCCACTTCCGCCTTCGGCACTTTCCTGGTGGAGGCGTTGCGAGACCGCTTGATTGCCGGGCTCCGAAGCGAAAACATTCCCTGCCGTCTGCTTGCCATGGACGACAAGGACGTCACGTGGGAGCGCGTTTTCACCGTGGCAACAGCCATGGAAGCCGTAAACAAGGACACCAAGGAGTTGCTACCAGCGTCCACGCTCAGCACCGCCGACGTGAACTGGCAACGCCGGTTCAACAAGCCAAGCAAGCAAGGCTGTACCAAGCAGCAGAACAGCGGACGCAGAGTCAACCACAATGTACCTTCTGAAAATGATCGACAAAATACTGTCGGTACCGATTTCTATCGATGTGGAGATTGGCACCTTCTCGGAACGTGTCCATTCTTAAACAGTGCATGTTTTAAATGTTTTAAGAAAGGCCACGTAGCTGAGATGTGCAAAACGAAAGCAGTGCATGACGTTTCATACGAAAAGTCAGAACCTGAAGGGTCAAACCTGTTATCTGTCATAGCCTCAACCGAGTAACAAAGAGTCCCGCGTTTGTTGTACATGTAAACATGAATGGTAAAGAGGTTCCAATGGAACTGGACGCGGGTTCGGCTGTATCGCTAATGGCAGAAAAGGAGTTCATCAAACACTTCCCGGGTGTAGAGTGCTCTGATGTGGATGTGGGACTTATTACGTACAACGGAACGCCAGTGCCTGTGAAAGGTAGCGTAGAAGTCAGATTAGAGTACAACGGTCAGACGTACAACTTGCCCTGGTGGTAGCTAAGAACCAGTATGAGGGACGCATGCCGACTATTCGTGGCCGAGATTGGCTTGCCAAACTCAAACTAAACTGGCCTGCGCTCGTGCAGGTGAATTCACTAGTTAAAAAAAAGCTCTCAACAAAGAAAAGTACTTGAGAAAAAAGTTCCCTGATGTTTTTAAACCAGGGTATGGCGCGATTAAGGGTTTTCAGGGTAGCATTGGTTGTGCGCGACGATGCAAACCCCGTGTTCTGTAAGGCGAGACCAGTCCCTTACGCTCTGTCGGAGGTGGTCGAGAAAGAGATCAAAGGCCTTAGAAAAAGCTGGTGTCATCTTTACAGTGAGACACAGTGCCTGGGTTACGCCCTTGGTAATAGTGCCAAAGAAAAACAGCACTCCTATTCGGTTTTGCGGTGACTATCGGGTTACGGGAACCCCAATATAAAAGTAGACAACTTTTCTTTGCCTTTTCCTGAGGACAGTTTTGCGTCCTTAGTTGGTGGCACTGTTTCGGCGAGGAAGCCAAGGAGCCGTTGCGATTGAGACCGTTTTTAATATCGGCCGAGTGATGGTAACAGAAATCAAGCCCCCCCCCCAAAAAAAAACGTCGATCCGGTACCTCTTTTCTTCTAGCTCTCTTCTTTTGCACCGTCGTCGTCTTCTTCTAGTTGTCATCCTTGATATCTTGCAAGATTTGTTATCTCTTCCCCCCCCCCTTTCAGATATCGTTTAATGAAAGCAATCGTCAAGTGAGTACAGGAGTTGAATCGGCCTTCTCAGAATCTTGTTTCCTGGTCCTCGGAGAAGGCATGCGCGCTCAAGCCCGTCTCGACCGGGGTACGTTTTTTCGACCTCACAGATTTTCCAGAACGCTCGATGCTTCTTGTCTCCTATCAAAACCAACTGTCCCTCTTTTATCTGGTTGCCCTTAACGTCCATTTTCAGAAGAGCGCCTCTTATTTCCTTCAGGTACTCCTGATGCCATCTGCGCCACCAGTCTTTCGATAAGCTTTGTTTGGCTCTCCAGGCCTCTCCAATATCAGCGCTCCAATTTGTGCCAGAACTGGGGAGGCGCTGCTTTCCGCCAACTATATCAGCAGGTGTGATTAAAATCGGTTCCTCAGCTTCGTTGTATGTGTATGTCAGTGGGCGGTTGTTTATTGCAGGCTCTACTTGAGCGGTGAGTGTGAGCAATTCCTCACTGCTGAGCAACTTCCGTCCAATCACCTTCCTCATTTACGCCTTCATGCTCCTTATCATCCGCTCGTAGAATCCGCCCCACCACGGTGCTTGCTCGGCAATGTATTTCCACTTGATCTGGTGTGCCGCTATAAAATCTTTAATCTGGGGGCCCTGTATGACTTTTATCACCTCACTGATATCCTTGTCCGCTCTCTTGATTGTTGTAGCGTTATCGCTGTACACCACAGAGCACACTCCTCTTCGTGCAACAAATCTTCTAAACGCTTGCATGACGCTGCTTGTCGATATGCTGGGCACAACTTCCAGGTGTACCGCTCTGGTTACCGTGCAAGTGAATATTGCGATGTACATCTTCGTTACTCCTCCGGACGATTTTGCGTAAAGTGGTCCAGTGAAGTCTATACCCACAACACTGAAATGAGGGCTTTGCGTGACTCTGTCTGCTGGTAAGGGAGCCATCTCTTGATCGTGCGGTCTGGTGTTGTACTGTTTGCACTCAATGCATTTGCTTAAAATCTTTTTGATTAACTGTCGTCCTTGCAACACCCATAACTTTGTCCTCAGGCGCGCCAGCGTGTCTCTTACTCCTCCGTGCGACGTGAGATGGTGCACATGCCGCACCAGAATTTCTGTAAAGTGACTGTTCTTCGGCAATATCGCTGGATGGCTCTCCTGAAGACGCCCCTCTAGCCTGAGCACCCCATCTTTACTCCTGAAGACTTTCGCTTCATGTAGCAGCTCTGCATCTTTTCCCCCTCTCAAATCGTTGCGACTTCCTGGTTTAGGAGTGATATATTTTGCTCTTGTTTCATGAGATAGCGCTCAGCTTCATCCAGTTCTTCAGCTGTTACAGGGCCCGTAGTATTGCTTCCTCTTTTCCTTTTTATGTGCCTGAACACCCAGGCGGTCACCCTCAAGAGCCTTACGTACGAGCTGAACCTTCGAGTGTCGATTATATTGGCGAGTGTTAGGTTTACCACGCACAGTTCTGTCTTCACTGGTTCACTTACTTCTTCTCTTATTTTATACTCATGTGGTGGTCGTGTTTGGCTCTCGACTAGCCATTCTGGTCCTTTCCACCATAAACGTGAGGTCACAAGTTGGCAAGCTTTTACTCCTCTCGTTAGGAGATCGGCAGGATTTTCTGCACTTTGTACGTAGTTCCACGCTTCTGGTTCAGGTCTCTGAATTATTTCCTTCAACCTGTTTTCGACAAACGATTCCCTTCTTTTACTTTCTTTGATCCAGTGTAGCACAATAGTAGAATCTGTCCAAAGGCAAGATTGGCTGATCCTCCGAACTAAATGTTTAGTGACATACTCATTCAGCCTTGCTGCCATGGTAACGGCTAAAGGTTCCAACCGTGCTAGTGAAATTGCTTTTAGCGAAGCATTTCGACTTTTTGCTAGAAGCAGTTGCGCTTCCTTGTTTCCATCTTCGTAGGTGGTAACTTTGTACGCCGCTGCGCCGTACGCAAATGGACTTGCATCTGAAAAGATATGTAGGTCGGCTTTCTGCACCGATTGTCGTTGATTAGCGTCATAACATCGGTGTACGCTGACTTGCTTTAGGTCCTACAGCTCATTTATCCATGTCGTCCATTCCCTGGTTTCCTTCTCTGGCAGTGGATCGTCCCATGTGATGCCTTTCTTCCAAAGTTCTTGAAATTCTCTCTTAGCTCTCACTGAAAATGGTGTGAGCATTCCCAAGGGATCAAACAGTCTTGCTGTTATTTGCAGCACTTGCCGCCTGGTAAGAGTTGCTGCCTTGAGCCTAACCATCCACTTTTCGAATGGAAAACTGAACTCGTCCGATGTATTGTTCCATATTAGGCCCAATACTCCGTTCTCTTCGGCTTTGGCCACCTCCATGTTGCCCTCATCGTCATGCGCAAATTCATTTTGCACTTCCTGATTATTCGACACCCATTTTCGCAAGATCATTTTCGCCCTGGCGAAGATACATCGGGCTTCACGGTACGTTTTTGTAGCATCCTCTGCAGTGTCTGCTCCAAGTAACATGTCGTCGACATAAATGTTCTTCTTTAATTGGGCAACTGTTTCCGGAAACTCGTTCTCCACCGTTTTCATGTGATATCGAAGAGTCGCCGCGAGGAGAAAGGTGCTTGGTGCAGTGCCAAACGTCACTCTCCCCTTAGCGAAAAGTCGTTCAAAATCAGTACACTGAAAGTATACTAATAGTGAACTTGGGGTATGTACTGAAATCGTACTAGTTTCACACTTTTATGAAACAAAATAGTATACCTTTAGTACACCCAAAGTACATATGTAGTATACCATAAGTGCACCTCGAGTGTACTTTTAGCATACTATAGGTGCACGTTTAGTACACGAAACGTATGCTTTTAGTGAACTAAATGTACACTACCAGTACATATACGCGGATGTCCCAGATAACTCGCACCAAACTTAAAAAAAACAAAAAAAAAAACAAAAAAACGGAGCGTTTTGCGGGAGTGAAACCAACTGTACGCTGTTAGCAAGTCTCTTGCGAAACTGCACGAAATTGTTTTAGTGCGCCTATTTATTTAATTAAGAGTAAGAAGCTAACTTTTGAAATCTTCGTTTAAAAGCCGAGGTGTGCAATGGAAAGTTGCAGAGCGCATTAAGAAACACCCAATTAAACCATTTTCAACAAGGTGCACTTTGCATGCTCCTTTCAAAAGCCTTCAAAAAAACGCCCGCGAAATACAAAAAATACAACGCGTGACAACTCGCTTCCCCAATCACGGCGTGCAAGCGCGCCGCGAATGTGCGTTCTTTAAAGGCCGGAAAAAAGCACGAAAACGTATTATGATTCAAACCCTTTAATTGGGTGTTTCTCAATGCGCCCTGCAACATTACAATTGACATCTTAGACCTTAAAAGAATATTTTAAAGGTTAGCACATTAATATTAGTTATTTACATTACCAGGCGCATTAAAATAATCTGTGCACTTTCTCAAGACGCTTGTTAACGACAGTTGATTTCACTCCTGCAGAGCCTTCCGGTGTTGTTTTTTTCTTTTTAAGTATGGTGCAGGTTATCTGGGACGCCGTGTATGTCGGGCGTTCTGAATGGAAGGAACGGCTTCAAAATGGCCAGAAAAATCGGTGCCTGCATTTAAAAAGCTCACTTTTCAAAGGTGTTTCTTTGAACGGCTGTAATCCAACCTGTGAAATTTCATGTCATATAGCTCCATTCTCGTGAAATGTTAAGAAACGCCGTTGAGAACTCAATTGATGATGATAATGCAGAGGCGCCACCATCGGGAGAGGCATTCTTCAAATGAGTCAGGAAATTAACGAGTAATCTTCGGCAGCTCTATTCCTCGTGAGAATGACGTACCGGCGTCTTCTGAAACTGTGTGAGAAAAGCCATAAAGAGTAGGTGCATTGCATTTTTCAACTGAAAGTATGTATGTGTAGCATACAAACATTATGATCAGTGTTCTTCGCGAGATTGATAAGACAGAAATTGAAATCCTACTTATCACTTTATTCAAGTTTCCGAGCCTGCCTCACTGTACACTCTCCTTTGTGATGATGGTATGCCATTACATCCTGCGTAAAAAGAGAAGAGGAAATTACCCTATGCCACTCTATGATATAACATCACATAATTCGCTCAAAGGACCACTATGTGAGGAAGGCAAGATAGTAACAACTTCATCCTGACAAAAGGGTGAGGAAAATCGGACAATGTCGTTTCTAAAAGCCTGATATGTCAGACATTGGTGGTGTGCCTTCTTTGCATGCCCACGGCTATGCTACAGGTAATAGTGTTCTTTGCAGGGCACAACATTCATTACCTCAAATCTTAGGCACCATAAAGAAAAAAAAAAGATTCAAGGTTGCAGTTTCTACATTTTAAGCACATGGATTGATGAAGGCCACAACGAAAACATTTGAGAATGGTCAATTTAAGGGCTGTGTGTGCTAATGATAAAATTATATTTTAGAAGTTTAGTATAATATGGTATTCGATATTGGTTTCAAGATTAATTGTACTACTGTAAACGACGTAATTTTTGCGAAGGCTTAGTTTTTGCGAGTTTATCGAAATTGCTCAAAATTGGTCATGCAAAAAAGTAAACCCATGGATACGTATGTATTGAACATTACTCCTGATTACAAAATTCTGTACCTGGAAAGTATTCTCAAGACTAACACTTCATAAATTAATGAAATATTGAGCTCGCGCAATATTTTATTATCTGATATCATAAAACCACTAGAGCAGGGTAGGGGTGTACCGCATCAATTATAAATTTCTAACCAATTAAAAGGTGGCATTTATTTAATTTATTAGTATTGGCTATTATTCTTTGACAAAGAATAACTGGGCGAGTCGGTACGTCGGTAGTCTTTTAACTCCATCGAATATTCAGGTTCTTTTAACATTTTTTCTGCCTTTTGTAGCGGTTTTCACCGCCACTGAAACAACGTGACATCCAAACTCACTTTATTCACAACACACAATCGCAAACTTGGCAAGCGTGCCGCTTCGGCATACGCAAAGAGATCGTCCGTCTCTACGGCACAGGCATCAGCACGGGCAAGAAATCATGCTGCTCGCTCTTGTAACGTTTTTCTCGCTCCCGCTATATGAAACAAATCGTTCGCGAGAGACTGTTGGGACTACACGTCAGAACTAGCATGACCTGTGATTCCTTAAACTGCCGTCAGACTGTACTTGAACGCTCCGCAAAAGCGTTGTCGGGCGACCGTCGTAGGGACAGCGCCCAGGACAGGCCCTCGGTTGGTCCTCGGTTCCGCCGCACGCGAATCGTTCTCACTAAATTTTGAAAATACGCTCTTCTCAAATAACAAAATAAAACCGGGTAGAGCGGGTCCATATCACAAGAGCGAATGACATTTTAGCGAACGGCGACATTTGAGCGAATGGTCGTTTTAGCGAATAACGGGGGCGCGCGTTAACCCATCCGTCGCGCTGCGCTTTACGCCGCTTCGCGGCGACAGTCTGCGGCAACTCATTACAAAAATATGAACTCATTTGGCCCACCCGAAAACGCCACTTCGCGGCGTCCGACTATTCGCTAAAGTGTCATTCGGTGAAACGTGGGCGTTCGCTAAAACGTCATTCGATCAAGTGAGTGCCTCCCGGGTAGAGCATAGTGAGAGTCAAGCATAGCTTAGCAAGCACACGGTACAAGACAAAGTTTGAAAAAGCGGCGCACTTCGGCAGAAACAAAAGAAACTTTCTCACCTTCGCTTGCACCAGTCGGCCATGACTGTCCGCCACTTGCGACGCTGCGTCTCACAGCTCTCAGTAATCGCTTGCTATTATTGAACACGGTATTCGTAAGTAAGCTATCTAAAATATCGGCTAAAACGGCTAAAACGTAAAAAGGAAGCGATGCTCGAACCCTCCGGAACTCCAACGGCGGCCGAACGCTCCGAACGGAAGCTGATTGCAATAGCGATGTTCTTGCGCAGTTTTCAAAAGTCTCTTCTTTTTGTTCTTTTTTTTTTGAAGACAAGAGTAAGCAAATAAATATATTATTAATAATAATGTCACTTTACTATATTCGTAAAAAAATAACAAAACGTTTAGTCTATCTTAGGTTTTATCTAAACTTTCGGTTTTCTTCTTCAGTGTAAAACCAAAACTATCTCAAGCAATTTCTCCCTTGTCGCCAAGGCTATTTTGATTCATCAGCGCATGCTTGCACCGCTGGGATTTCGGCTTTTCTGGAAGGATCGGCTCTCGCGGCACATAAATAATGAGGGCAACCTCGTGTTTTGAAACAATGAGCGTGCCCGTCTTTTTTGACAAGGGAAAGACACGTTATGTTTACGTCGATTTTTTACAGTGTGGAACTCTCGATCGACGGTGTTGTTCGTTGTTGCAATTGTCAATCTCTTTTCACGTGAATTGAGATGTCTTAGAGTTTTGCAAGATAAATCTACACCATGAAACACTTTCGATGAAAGCTTGAGTTTGTTACACGAAGGCGCCGATTTCTCCAGCCAGTTTCAGAGCGAGCTTCCATTCATAATACCACTTCGCTTACGCGGTCCAGAAGTCGATTTGCGCTGCATGCGACTATGCAAGGTGGAGCACCTTATGTCCCCATTATTAGCCGTAGTTTCTTTTGCCTCCTGTCCTTTTGATTGCTGTGGATGCAGATATCTGAAACAGCGTATAGTGCGCTGAGACCTGCATTACAAAAACACCGGATTATCCTGCAAACGTAATTTGTCTACTAGCCTATGAGGCAGCACGCAAGTGGCGGTGCACATTGAAAACAAAATCATGTGCATGCTTTTTCATCAGCAGCATTAAGCACTTGGTGCAATTGCCCTCGATCGCCTAGCTTCCGAATAGTGTTAAAAGTTTTTTTACAGTAAACTTTTATTCTTCAATAAAAGTAACAAATACAGCTCAGGGAAAATAAAAGCTATCTTTGCAATAAAAGTAGACTTTTCAATTGCTAAGTTTATAGAAATGACTAGCTAAAATAATTATTGATAAGTTAGATAACGCTTCTTTCCGTGGCGTACAATGTAGTTAATTTTTCTATTTGTGCTTTTTTTTTAAGCGTAAGTCCATGTTGCATTTGCGGCCTAAGTGTGCTATGATAGTGCCGGTCGTTTCCCCGGGGAACTTTCGGACCACTTGGTCTGCAGTGAAGTGAGAAATGAAGCATCCCTTTGTCACGTTATGTCAGCTATACCCGGTGATATTTTTTAATTAACTGGTTGCAGGAAAATCGGGGGTCACTGTCATGTTGATGCACTCTTCATGTGTGTCGTGCGACTCGGCGGACAGTACATGGGTGAATAACCGTGGCAACAATTTTTTTTAAGTAATTGAAATCCGTAAATTTACTTTTTTTTATAATTGCTGTTTTAGAGGCAGTTGTTATTAGAGCCCAACACAATCAAAACTATTCACGAAACAGCCAAGGGGCTTGCAGATATTTATTTATCAAATTTCGCACTTTTTTCCCTCGATTCAAAAACCACGCGCAGTAGGGGCGGGCAAAGTGGAGAGTGACTTAGCGGTTTTGACATGACATATCGGTGATGGCATGTTTGTTTGTGTTAGCGAGAACTTCTCATACTGAAGTTCTATGCATTATTTAATTTTCTAATGAAGTTAAAACCCTCATAAAATGCTGTCGCATTCAGCATGAACGAAGTTGCACACTTTTGACAGCGTGCCTTTGGTGGATGCTCCAGCATCATACTTCCAACGGTTCGACTGAAGGGAATACGTAAGAATAGCATCCTGCGCTCTGTCCAGCGCGCTGTTTTTAATCAGGCGACGAAAGGCAGTTTTAGCTATGAATAACCAAAAACTCGTCACCTTTTTGCAAATTGTTTCAGTTGGGCTACAGTTTATTCATAACTCCTTTAAAATTGAAAATTCAACATGGTCAATTACACTGTCAATTAAAAAAAGTTAATTAGATAACGCACTGTGACGTTTATTTACTCATCTAATGTCCGCCGAGCCTCGCGAATATTCTGTGGAAACGGCATCGGCCTATCTATCGCGTTTTTAATGTGTTGATGTTAACAATCGCACTATATATATACATATATATAACCGTTACTATAATTTGAGTTCGCCGACTGCAAGCACTGAAAGTAGGCGTTTAGTACACTGGAGTGGACGTCCTGCATACTGATTTTGAACTATTTTTTACCGTGGGCATTACGATTCTACTACATGTACTAGTTTTGTACGGACGAGTATACTTTCAGTCCACCGCCATTTTTACTAGAAGTATACTTTAAGTACACTTAAAGTATACAACAAATACAAAGATTGCACAAAAAGTATACTTTTAGTATACTTCAGTACACTTCGAGTGTACTGATTTTGAACGACTTTTCACTAAGGGTCTTCATCCTCCATACTTCCATTTTGGGGTGCTGCTGCGAAGGGCTCGGCTTCTCTTTCCACCAGTACAAGCGGAGCGAATCTCCGTCTTCCTCGTGTATGCCAATCTGTAAAAACGCCTTTTCCACGTCCGCCACCATTGCGATACGATGATGTCGCAAGTTGATCAGTAAAGCCAAAATATCTTTGCTTAAGTTTACGTCAACTTCCAGATTGTCGTTTAACGAAGATCCGGGCGAACCGGTCGATGATGCATCGAATACTATGCGGATTTTCGTGGTGGCCTTGTCATCTCGCATTACGGCCTGATGTGGCATGTAGTAGCATAGTCGCCCGTTTGTGTCCTCATCTTTCACCTTTTCTGCAACGCTGGTGTTTAAATATTCCCGTATCGCTCTGTCATACTTCTCAAGTAGTTCCGGATTCTTCTGTAGCCTTCTGGTCAGTTGGTTCAGTTTTTTTAAAGCCAGTCCTCTTTTGTCATCTAAGCTAACTGTTGACTTCCATGGCAGTCGGACGTGGTACCTGCCCTCCTGGAAAGTTACTGTATCTTCAAACTTGGCGAGTATGTCCTCGTCGTGGCCGTTTTCTATTGGACTATCTTTGATGCCTGCTGCTTCCAGGTCCCAAAATTGTTTCAAGGCGTCGTTGACCTCCTCAACTGTTGCAGTTACGTTCAAGACCATGACTGTGGAAGAAGTCGTCAATTATGATTGAACTGCCATCGGTCCTTGAATTGTCCATCCTAGCACTGTTTCCATGGCAGTGATTCTTTTGTCTAGCTTCTTAATTCGTCCAGTACACATCTCCCAGTAATGATCCGAACCAATCAGAATTCTCGTAGCTTCGTTATTGACTACTTTTTCTGGGTTGTCTGCTAGTAGTACGTTCATCGTTTTCAGGTTCCTTTGAATATTGATGTCTGGCCTTGGCAGCGTCTCTCTTGAGATGACTTCCACCTCTAAGGCCTCTATCAAAAATTCTTCTCTCATTGGCTCTTTTTTCAGCTTCAGCTCCACTACATTGAGTATTCGCTCCACCTTTTTTCCCCCAAATGATCCAATAGAGAGTCTTTCTTCTCTGAGAACTTTGGATCCCAATTTCTTGATGAAGCTTGCGGTTATAAACGACCACTGGCTTCCGCTATCCAGCATCACTCGACAATAATCTGATGCCAATCTTCCTTCTGTCCAAGCGACCGCTGTTTGTAGTAACACGTACGTGCTGCTACGGCAGATCTGTTGTGAGGCATGGAAATTGCATGCCCTCTCCGTAGACACCTCTTGATCATGGTACAATGCTGCACTACTTGCGTGTGCGCTTTGATCAGGTGTGTTTACTGTAATGCGCTGAGTGGATGTGCTTTGGTTGACTCCTTCACCCTGCTCGTTACGGCGGCACATTGATGTTGCATGCCTTTGCTTGCAGGCCTTGCAGGTTATCCTGGCTTGGCAGAACCTAGCTGTGTGGCTTGGTCTTGTACAGCGAAAACACCTTCTGTCGACTCGGAGTTTTGACTTCCTGTCCTTATATGATTGCGTTTTCGTGCAGTCTTCGGCGTAGTGACCAATTTGATCACAGAAGAAGCATTTACGCGCTGCTGAGCTCTGGAACGTTGACGCCCATGCAGAATATTTTGCAGGTGGGGATGGCGCTGTCGCGTTACTATTTCTCGTTTCTTCTTCTGTTACCTCTTCCCTGCATCTCACTTGATATTTGATGTAGTCAATTAGGCTCTTCAACATTTCATAATTTGTCCTTCCTGAGGTCTCGTGCGCTTGTTGTGACGTGGACGCTACTGGATCAAGTGATCTTGATTGTTCCTTCACTTTGAAGTCTACCAGCATGTCTGTTGGTACTGCTTTCTTCAATATTGGAAACAGCATTGCAGCATATGATCCGATAAGTATCCCCATTGATTCAAGCCCACTTGTGTGCACCTGTATCTTCTGGTACATCCGAGCTAGACCATTATGGTCTCTGCAGGATTTCATTTGACCCAGGTTGATGAAAGCATTCATATGTGCCTCCATCAAGTTGTCTTCACTCCCAAAGTTGCCTTTTAATAGCTTTATCGCCTGTTCATAGTTTCTTTCCGAAAACTGCAGACCCTCAATGGCCAAGGCGGCTTTTCCCGTAAGCACCGTCATAAGGTAATTGAACTTATGTCCGTTTGACATCCCCGGTCTTAAATGAATTGACGTTTCGAACTGATGCCAGAATCGTTGGCACATCAATTTGTTTACATCGAACTTCACGAGTTCGAGCTTTGGCAACTTCACCAGTTCATTCATCTCACGCGGTGCGGTTTCTCTTAACGCGGGAACTTGGCCACCATGTTCTCCTCTCTGCATACCCTGCGTTGTGTTTTGAATACTGACTTCTAACTTGGAGATTGCAGTTATTACCTTGAGATCGTATTCGATCACCCTCTCATATTCTGCATCCACGCTTTCGGCCGTCAGAAATTGTTCCATTTGAGTGTTCGTCTCTCTGAGCGTTTCTGCGACTCCTTTAATCAGATTAGCCGATAGCAAGAGATCGTTCTTGTCAGCATTTTCTTCAATTTTGTTGTCGGCGTCCGTTATTAGGTGAGTTATTTGCGTCCTTAGAGCCTTTCTCTTTCTGGTTACAACGTCCCTGCTCATTGTCAAATGTTCAAAGGGCTTACGACTGCTGAGCACTGGTGTCCGGTCCCCGCCTTCTGTTCCTTGACTGTTCCTCCTGTTCTGTCCAGGTCCTCGTCAGCCGCTCCTTCGCCGACTTCTTCTGTCCACGTTTCTTCGTTGGCGAACCGGTGATCCTGGTCACGGCACCATGTTTCGGCGAGGAAGCTAAGGAGCCGTTGCGATGGAGACCGTTTTTAATATCGGCCGAGTGATGGTAACAGAAATCAAGCCCAAAAAAAAGGAAGTGTCTATTCTGCCCGCAGCCGGCACAATAACCGGGGGGGGGGGGAAAACTGCCGGCAATAGTCGCCTATTGGGTCTCGTATAAAACGGATTGTAAACACGCTTATTCTAAGCTGTGGATTAGCTCAGCGGGTAAGATGTGCGCCTCATACACAGCAGGATCTTAGTTCAATCCCCCGAGGGAATTTTTTTCTTCTTCGGAATTTTGTTTTTTGTTGAGGTATTAGGCGATATTTACGACATTTCTCTTTTAGAATTAACACTGAAAAAAGAACACACACACAAAAAAAAAACACGAATGTTGTTGACGAAACACTTTCTTTTTGGGGGTGAATGGAGGACAGCGGGGCTTGGGCCGGCCGGCACGCCGCCGCGATGCGGTGGTACTGGTGGGCCAAATAGGTCAATATATTTCTAATGAGCAGCCGCAGACTGTCGCCGCTAAAGGAGGGGGAGGGAGGGGGCTATGTTAACGAGCTCCTCACTGATACACGCGCCGTCCGAAACTGTCAGTAGAATTTCGGAAAAATTATTCTGCCGCCTGCCGGCAGAATAGACACTGCCCCCCACCCCCCCCAAAAAAAAAAACGTCGATCCGGTACCTCTTCTTTTCTTAAAGCTCTCTTCTTTTGCACCGTCGTCGTCTTCTTGTAGTTGTCATCCTTGATATCTTGCAAGATATTTTATAGGCACTGTTTTCACAGTACTGTACCTTTCCAAGCCATACTTGCAACTTGAACTCGACGAGAAAGCACAAGAGCTGCTAACTGTGAACACTCACATGGGCCTGTTCAGGTTCCGGATATTGCTGTATGGGGTAGCAAGTGCACCCATCATGATTCAGCCAATCAATAATCAGATCCTACAAAGTATACCTGTTACTTGGATGATGTGCCCGTTGCTGGCAAAGACCACAAAGAATGCTACACCCTTGTTGAGCAGGTGTTTCAGAATCTGTGAATTCGCGGCATCCGAGTGAATGTTGGAAAATGCAAGTTCTTTCAGAGTCAAGTGCAGTACTTAGGACACATGCTGGATAGTAGAGGATTACATCCAACAAAGGAAAAAATGGAGGCGATTTGCAGAGCCCCCAAAACAACGAAGCTGACCCAGCTTTAGGCATTTTTAGGCTTTGTAAACTATTGCGCAAGATTTTTGTTAAATTTGGACTCTGCTTGAGCCTATGCACGCCATTCTGCGACAAAGCAATGAATGGGAATGGTCAAGCCAATGTGCTGACAGCTTTAACGCATGCAAGAAGCTTCTTTTTGAGACTCCGATCTTGGAGCTGTATGATGTGCACAAAGAGATTCGGCTGACATGTGACGCATCCGCGTATGGTCTTGGCGTATTGTTGTCCCACATAGAAGACGCTGTCGAAGAACCAGTTGCATTCGCATCGAGATCGATGTCGCCTGCAGAACGTAACTATGCGCACATCGAGAAAGAGGCGCTTGCAATTGTGTTTGGAGTTAAAAAAAGTTTCAGAAGTACTCGTATGGACGCACCTTCAAGGCTGTAATGGACCACCAGCCCTTGATGGTACTTTTCGAAACTAAGCGACCCGCTAGTGCAGTGGCTGTGGCCCGCATTCATCGCTGGCTGACATTCCTGGTTGACTACAGTTACCACATTGTTTACAAGTCGGTGAAAACCATCACTAATGCTGATGGCCTGTCAAGGCCAACCCTGCCCAGTACGACTAACAACTCAGATGATATATTTTATTCCTCACCTACGAGTGAACTCCCAGTAACCTTGAAAGATGTCAACGGGAAACAGCAAAAGAGAAAGTCTTGAGTGCTGTACGAGTGCCTGTCGAGAATGGACTCAAAAAGTATCTGATGAGTATCAGTCATTGTTCCTTCGAAGGTTTCAGCTCTCTGTCGACATGGGTTGTATAGTGTGGAATAACAGAGTAATTGTCCCGAAGTCCCTCCAAGATGACATGCTTAGCTTTTTGCATGAGCAACACATGGGCATCACAAAGATGAAAGCAGTCGCTAAATCCATGGTCTGGTGGCCAGGCATGGACAAAGCTCTCGAAGATGAGGCGAAGCGGTGCGGTGTGTGCCAGAGCGTTGTGTCGATTGGACAGCCTGCCCCTCTGCAGCCATGGCGATAGTGTACTAACAAGTGGGAAAGGGTACATTTAGACTTTGCAGAGAAGGAAGGCAAGACATGGTTGCTTGCGGTCGACTCTTACTCGAAGTGGTTAGAAGTTTAGATAATGACATCAACAATCGCGCAGCAAACCATCGATACAGTCAGGGAACAGTTTGCAGCCCACGGACTACCAGTAGAGATTATCACTGAAAATGGGCTGCGATTGCGCTCGAAGGAGTTCAACGATTTACTGCGTAGCAATGGTGTGAAGCACACCCTCACCCCACCCTATCATCTACAATCAAACGGCGCAGCGGAGCGGGCTGTTCATGCAGTAAAGAAACCACTGTTGAAACAACTTCTCGAGGACCAGTAGCATAATCAGAAAAGGTCTATGCAACATCGCCTTGACAACTTCCTCCTTGCATAAAGAACTTCTCCGCACACCTTCACAGAGAAAACTCCTGCTGAGTTGTTCTTGGGGAGGAAACTAAGGACGAGGTTGTCTCTTGTAAAACCATAAATAAAAGTGGCAATGCAAGAAAAGGTTGAGAAAGCCATGTGTGACGCTGATAAACGAAGGCGTGCACCGAAAGTGTTCTCGGTGGGTGACCGCGTCTTCGTGAGAACAGTGCGTGGAGAAACTGGGAAGTGGCGGGAAGGAACAATCAAGACTGTCAAGTCTCCAGTGACTTATCGGGTGTTGGTGAACGGACAAGTGCGTTTTGTGCATGTTGACCATCTGAGGCGGTCGTTTCAAGAATGCTGCTCTGAAATGCCATTTGAGGCGCGTGTGCCTTTGCTTTATGATGCTGATGTATGTAATGCTTCTGTTCCTTGTGAGCCCCCCATGGTTCAAGCCGGTCATGCGGATACTCCGAGTTCAGATATGGTCAGTAATGCATCACCACATCCAGCTTACTCAGGGTCGCCTACTCATGTCGGTGTGGCAGTCAGGCGTAGTACCAGAACTAGGCGTCCGCCTGATCGTTTTGGAGATGAGTGATCCTCATCCCAAGTGGGAGGGAGTTGTTGTAACCTAGCTTCGGTTTAGGTTTATATTAATAATTCGTAATTGTTCCCATGCCGACTACAGGTGTGACTGTCTGTATATAGTTTTATGCCGCGCGCATCGCGTGACACGTATGCTTGGGTTCTGGAAAATGAAGATGTCTGCCATGTCTCCTTGAGTACCCTGCGTCTCATGTCATCGAACCATACAACACCCGGGTTCTGGAAACACTGAGACGCTTTAATTATTTCTTGTTGTGTTTTGTTTGAATATGATTGAAACGTAAGAGCCACCGGAGCGGTTTTTTAAACAAAATATAGTTGAACCATTCCGACAAGCATAGTTTGAGAGCGAAAATGATTTTCGAAGGTGACAAAATATTTATATTTTTTCGCATAAGCCAAATGGCGGAATCCCTTTCATGGCACCAATTTCATTTGGATCGCACCAGGCATCTGTACCGTCGCACAGTAGAACGCGCGGAAAAGCAGTTGTGGTGCACCTGCAGCCTCGCGCTTGTTGTTCTGACATCACTGGCTTGCTCACTGCCGGTATCCAAGCGTCTGACATTCTGAAATCTGGCACCATTTCTGTCGTTCACGTGGCGTTGCAAGCCGCACACGGCGGAAAATGCACATCAAGCTATTTTTGAACACGTGTCGCCATCTGGATTTTATATCTAGAAACTGCTATTTGCCGTAACTGAATGGGAAAAGTTTGAGGTCTAATAATATTCTTAACGAGTAATATAGCAGTATGAAAGTCTGGAAAATGTAATATCGAAGGATGCCTCATAATTTAATGTATCGCAATTTTGATTAGTTGACGTAATTCCGTTTTTTTAGCACGATAAAAAAATAAAATTTTAAACATTCTTTTTTTTTTTCAAACATACATTTTCTGTGCAGTGCGTTGCTCACTTTATGAATTCATTATATCTAGGGCTCCGTGTTTTCGGAGTTTATTTTTCGTGAAATTCAGAGGGTGCTTTTCGCAGTTTATTTTTTAGCGAAAATTCGGTGTTTATCGGAGTTTATTTTCGTAAATCCCCAATTCTCCGAAATTCGGAGATTACTTTCGCAGTGTTTCGTATTAAAAAAATATTAAATAACAACCGGCTGCAAACGTGTGCCAGATAAAAATATAACGCGCTTGTATCAATTAAGACTTCTTCAGTTTAATTTGGTGTTGGTGTCATTGGCAATACTAATTTGTCCCACGACAAAAGTCGGACACAAGTGTGGCTTTGATAACCGTCGATACCTTAAAATCAATAAACTGCCGGGGGTAGCCGCAAGGAAGCTCCGTAGTCACACCATGAATCTTTCCTACGGCCGCGCGAGGTGGAGGGGTTAAGGATGTAATAGAGAGGTTTCAACTGCCCCTCTTCCCTATTTATACAATCTCTATGATCCATAGCTTTCGCTGTTACCCCCAGAAACATACCCTCTCCTTTCTCTAAATCCCAAATCCCATGGCCCAAACTGGAAACCAAAAGAGTGGCTTTCGTCGTGACAGGAATGGTACGATCACCTGTTTCCTTTTATTGATTCACTTTCCCACAGCGCCAGGGTAGTATTAACGCGGGGAGGAAATTTTCATTTTCATTTAAGCAATA